CCAATAACAACAAGTATGAAGAAGGTGGAGTTTGCTAGTTTGATTCTTGAGATCCATGTTAACTAAAAAAAAAAAAAAAAAAGCTAATCATACGAACCTAAAAGGCTGCCCACAGAGAGGCGAGATCTGACGAAATTCATGTCTGTATGGGTTACCGTCAGCCGGTATGTCCAAAAACTGTGCAGCAAAAAGCGGGTGGACACTTCCCCTTCAGCTACTGAAAGTCAACTAGCTGCATAAAAACAGGCCCTCCACGACGCTGACGTAAAAGACGCCGCATTATATTAGGATTGTACGTAAACGTGGCCGCCATGTTGTGATAGGCATTTTTGGAATCAGCGAGGACTAAACACAGGTCGCATGGAAAACTGGCCTTAAAAAAGTTCTAGTTCAAGTTGTTGAAATGTATTCTTCACTCTCCCAGCAAGAAAAACACATTTAACGTGGCCTCCGTGTAATTTTTTGAATGTGTTTTTGATTAGTTCAAACAGGCCCGGTTAATTGACACTCCTGTGAGCGCTTTGTGTCTTGAAAGGTTTCACATACTTATTGCACAGTTTGTGAACTGTCAATGTAAATGACTTCCCATAATTATGGGTTCCATTTGAGCATAACATTTTACATTGTTTTAAATATGGCTCTTCACATGTTATGCCAACAGCTTAAGCCAAATCTAACAAAATAACTGAAAATGATCTATAAATAGATCGTTCTCCAAGATTCAGTTCCTGTAATGATGGTGACATGCAGGTTGTCCTGTGTGGTTGGCACTGTCATGTGCAAACAGTTCCTGTGCTGTTCCAGACAGCCAATTTGACAGCAGTTCCTCCTGTGAGCTGTACTGAATCAGAACAACAGTGACACAAAGCTCTGACAGCTGCAGGTTTCATATAAGACAGTTGGCCTGTTATTCGGTAATGTAATGAAAAATATATTTTTATTCTAGATATGTTCTCTGAAGCATGACTTTATTGTGTATTCACAAACAGCAGAAAGCGTGAGGAATTAGCAGAACACAACCTAGAAAGTGAGTAAATAATAAATGAATAAAATATCATGGTTATTAGTTCTTTTATTTAATGTTTTAGTAAAACAGAAACCTTAAATAAAAACATGCAGGAAAAACAGTTTGTCTTGGTATATAATTCAGAAGTGAATTAAGGTAATTTGAACTCTTATTTTCACTTGTTCAGTTTATAAAACAATTAATAAAATTTTGTTTCTAATTAGTAAAACCTAATTTGTTTTTTGCCTCTTGAATGATGGAGTTGCGGCGGGGGTTCAGACTGAATGCCTGATGAAAACCGTTCCTGAAGAGAGTTAAGTAAGTTTCCGTTCAGGCACCGTCTTGAACAGCCATCTCGTGCTGGTGTTGTGAAGGACCCTACAGTCCACTATGGCGGCGCCCGATGGGACTTTAAACTGTGAGGACTTTTCCATGTTTCAGGTAATTTAAACTAAATGGATTCACTGTTTTTGCACAAACGCTGCAAAGTGAGAGATCGACCGGAGTCCTTGGCCCTCAGAGGTTGGCATGATCGGTTCTTTGTTTTCTCTGAATTGTGACCCTCCTGATCCTTCAAGGATCCAGACTGGATTACAGAACTGGAAACTAGCAGCATGTGTGCTTGGAGTTAGCATCACAAAGAGTCTCCATCAGCTGATCCGAGTCTACTTGATCAGTGCATTATCAGAATTACTTGAAGAATTACGGAGTTCCTGAAAGGAACCATCAATTATTAGAATTGTGGAAAAACAAATTACTGACTTTTTACCAAGCAGGGTTTTGCTAAGATTTTCATACCCTAGAACTATTTTTATTGGAGTTTTATTTGATGGGCAGTTGTGCATAATTGTAAAGTTGTAGAAAAATACTTTTTAAAAAAAATAATAATTGTACAAATAAAAAACTGTAAAGTGTGTCATTTGTAATCAATCTCCTTTTAATACCCCAAAATAACTCCAGTGCAATAAATTGCCACCCAATTAGTAAACAGCTGGTGAGTAATTTAATCACAGCGTATATTCAGATTTTCTGCAAACGCCTCCTGAGATCTGCTAGTGAGCAGAGCAGATAGCTCATGGAAGATGATGTGGAGAAGTTTAAACCAGGGTCGCAGACAACAATCCTCTTAAGACTTGACTGTCCACTTAGCAGGCTGGACAAGGAGATCATTAGTTATAGAAACAGCCAAGAGGCTCATGGTAACTCAGAAGGAGCTTTAGAGATTCACAGCTCCAATGGGATAATCTGCTGACCTGACAACTTTTAGCTTTATGCTTTATAAATCTGGACAGGAAAGCCAAAAAAAAAAACTCCCACTTGCAGTTTTCTAGAGGCTTAAGGAGACGGTTGTATGACAGAAAAATTTGCCCTACACCCAAAACTCTATGTAGCAGAAAGCTAAACTTTCACATCATCTCAAAAACAACAAATGCCCAGTGAGACAACGTGGTGGCAGTATCAGAGAAGACAGAGAAGCCGGTCTGAGTAGATGGAGCTAAATGCAGAACAAGCATCCTACTAGTGGGCGTAGAAATCACTGGAGTCAGATGAAGGTTCACTTTAGCAAGACCCCAACTATACAGCAAGAGGAGCATGCTCATGTTTTGGAATGGCCCAATTAAAGTCCAGACGTAAATAAAGGAATCTTTGACTTAATTTTGAGATTTATGTTGACACCTTCTTTATCATATCTGATTTAACTGGACATCTTTTGCAAAGAACTGGCTAACTTTGTTTGCCTACATGTTTAAAATTGACTTGAGAGACTAAAACAATACTCCAAAAAGACTAACTATTGACTCCTGGTGGCTGATTGTAGATGCACAACATATTTATTATGAATTTGTATTTGTGAAAAACAAGTAAAATAGAATATACAATTTTCTTTCCATTTCATAACGGTGTTCTTCTTTTTGTCCTGTCATGTAAAATCTCAATAAAATGCATTTATACGTTTGGTTTTAACATGATGCGCGATTGTATAAAGGGGTGGCTATTGTTGCAAGCCCTATTATTGTCCTATTCTTAATTTGAATGCACCATGAACCATTATTTTCCTCTATGTTCAGATTTCGGTGAGCAGTTCCATCTACGGGTTGTGTTCATGAATATTCTGGGATAAAACAGATCCTTTAAGCCATAAAAAACTGTCTTTTTTTTTTTTTTTTTCAGGAAGGCTTGAAGGTGATGCGCACTATAGACGACCGTATCGTCCACTCCCTGAACACTACTGTGCCCACAGTGTCCTTCTCGGGAAAAGTGGACGCCACACAGACCTGCAAAGAGCTTTATGAGTCGGTGAGTGTCAGAAGAAAACTAAATCTGCAGGTTTCTGCACAGTTGTAACGTGCGTCCCCACGTCTCTCGTCTGCATCTCGCAGTTGATGAAAGCCCATCTGAGTAGAGACAAAGCCATCAAGGCTTGTATAGCTCAGAAATCGGAGGTGGTGGTGCAGCTGCGGGAAGAACGAGAAAAAGACAGCGACAATCTGAAACTGGTCAAACAGCTCCGAAAGGAACAGACCAACGTAAGCAAGAGCAAATTAAAATACATTTGTGGATATTAATATTCTGTAATGGGTAGTATCTGACAACTTCAATGTATTTTTTTTTAATTAGATATGCTCACACAAATACATAAGCAGTAAATCCCAAGGCAAATTATCTTGTAGAAAAAAAACCCTGATTGTTACTTTTTTGTCTTGTGTTGTCCTGCCTCCAGTTGAAGCTCATGCAGTCAGAGCTGAACGTCGAAGAAGTTGTCAATGACAGAAGTCTGAAGGTACAAACACATCCCTATCATTCCTTTATTCGTTCTTAAAAACAATGTAAAACGTTAACGCTACTTGTGTTGTCCTTTCCTCTCAGGTTTTCGTTGAACGATGCAGAATCCACTACCTGCCTCCGAAGGTGTAGCGAAGATCCCTCTGAGGAAAAAGAGCCTCTTCGCTCCGTGTTTAAACCCAGACTGGAGCTGAGCGCGTGTGTGTGTGCGCGCGCGCACCGCTAGCTGAGCACCGACGGCTCAGCGGGCGACTCTTGTCCTCCAGACCAATCAGAGCTCCTCTCCACTTCACCTGTTCTCAGTGTCATTATGGTATAGCAGAATGAATGCTGTAAAAGTCATCTTTGTTCTTCACAAGGGGTTATTGTACAAAAGTTTTTTTTAAAAAAAAGACACAATGAACTGTTTTCAAGTGACTTCTGTTGTCTGTGTTTTTATATCATTAGCAAAAACCCGGCGCTTCTGACAGGCAATGAGCTGAGCTGGACCTGTTTTCTCGTCTTGTTCATTAGACCTTTTTATTGTTGGTGAGATAGATCTTTAATTACTATATTTAGATATTTTATACTGACATTACAGTTATTTCAAAGTGAGCATCAAAACAATTTCATATAAGATTAAAAGTTTATTCTGATTTATTACAAAGCTTACCTCTAATATATGGTGCTGCGAAAAAAAAGTATTTGCCTCCTTATAGGTTTCTTTTCTTTTTTGTCACACTTTTTTGTAATATCAACCTGGCCCTGTGGGAACTAAACCTAATAAACAGTTGAGGCCCCCTTGGTAGCAACAATTGCCATAAAGATTCAACAAATCAGGCCAATTAGTCTTTTACATTGTGTTTTTAAGGTCACAGAAAGGCAATTAGATCTAAGCCCTGACTTGGTCTAAGTTTAGCAAAACCTCAATTTTTTTAAAGTTTAAAGATGAGCATGCTGTTGTGTTTTGAATCATTGACTTGCTGCATAACTTGCTTCAGTTTCAAACTGCTGGTCAGACACGATCCTTCAGGAATTTCTGGTAGAGAGCAGAATTTCTGATTCCAATCATTTCAAGAGGATGTCTAAACTGTCTTGAGGCACCAAAACAAGCCTTGGAGAGTTATTTTTTGTTGTTGTGAGAGGCTGCAAAATATGCTTGCAGTTTACCTAAACCAGATTCCACCAATTTTTAGGAATAGAATTTAATCTGATAGAATTATTATTTTTTTTTTTTTTCAAAAAAAAGCTTTGATCAGGACCTTGGACTGCTTTTCAGGATTGGATCAAGATATTCTTACAATATGCCTACATAGTGAACACACTGTGCTTCTTGTTTTTTTTTTGTTTGTTTTTGTCCTTTTTCTTATGTTTCTTAAGTTTAGACTTGAGATATTTTTATAAAACCAAAAGCCTTTTGAGAGGTTTTAGCTATATTTATTATATTTTAGCACATTTTCCAAATATTATTGCACCCAGACTGAAAATCACACTGCAAAGTAGCTTTATAAAACAACCACTAATATCATAATGATAGAATTTTGCTGAAAGGCTGCCGGGGTGAATTTGTGTTTTCCCATCAGTTCAAAGGTCTGATGGGCTCCAGAGGATCTCCTTCTTTGTGTTTCTCTACCCTCTTCAGTAAAGTTTTAATCTCTCCCTTTTTCGGAGAGCTTTGGTAGGCATAAATATGGAGGTATTCACTTCCTCCTGCATGAACCTGCAGAAACAGAAAGGCATTTTTTTGTTTCACTGGAATTGTTAACATAAACACATTTACATCTTGGAACACAGACTATCTGACAGTAAAGTAATATGATGTCAAAGAAAATCTGCAGATATATCACCTTGATGAGAAAGTTTGTTCCTGACTCTGGTTGTGCCCTGTATTCAATGGCCTTAAATATTTCATAGCTCTGTTTGGTCCACTTTGTCTCTGCGTCTCTCTTCACCTGTGAGTCGGTAACATTAAGTAGAGATTGAAATCTGAGCTGCGAAGCTGCATGTAGACATTATAAAGAATGACTGGAGCTCACCATGTCACAGATCTTCTGAGTTTCTTCAGTGGCAGGCGTTATCTCTGTCCATTGTTCAGACATTCCTGCCATGCTGGTGTTTAACGGTAAAGTCAAATGTCTGCTGCTGTCAACTCAAAATGATTAAGAAGGAAGTTTTCCAGTGTGTCTTTACCGTGTTTACTCTGGGTAAAGACTGGAATAACAGGTCGAGCTATGACTGAAACCTTCTCACCTTTTAGTGGAAGAAACTAATTAAAATTAGGAATTAACCACCAAAATTTAGATAATAAAGGACAAACGTGACATAAGGAAAGGAGTGAAACAAAGTCGCTGACAGAGACCGTCATTGCCCTTTCTTTACTCCGATTTTATTTTAAACTTTCAGTTTCGCAAAGGCAACCGGTCAGACCAGAATACGTTGAAGTTTAACTTTGAAGAAATAATGGTGATGTGCTGCCCCCTACTGGCGAATCAG